CCCCCCCCCCCCCCCCATCACCAGCTAGCCATCTTCAAATACCAACTACTGGGGTATGTGACATTAGACAAGCTTGGGGCACAGCCTGGAGTGGATGAATCTCTGCACAGGGTGGGGGAGTTACCTTCCCACAGATGGAGACTCTGTGGAGCTACAGAAGGCCAGATGACTAGGTTGTTGGCTTCAAAGAGTGGATTGGTGAATTTACTAAGCTCGCTGGGCCGATTGACCCACGACCACAAAGACATTGTTTTCTGCTGTAGCTTCAACTTACATCTGTTCAAGAAAGAAAATAATCATTAAAGTCATTAATGGCTAACAACCACCCTTCAGTGCTCCTCTTAGGAGGACTACTCCCTGTGTGACAGAAACAAGACTCTTGGTAGAGAAACTACATACTTTAGAATGAAAGTATTTGTCAGGGGCATCTGCTGTAAAACTCCCATACCCTTCTGTAACTCAGCAGTAGCTGGGCTGTGAACAGCACCATCACTCAGGACCTGGGGACAGTTTCCAGGTAAAATACGAACCAGAAAAACTGCATTGAGGTTATACTTGTAAAAAGATTCATTCGTCAAGTTTTTAGTTTTGGGTATACATCTGTTGATAGATATATAGTTGTACATATACATACATAGATTCACATGAGTGCAATTGATCCCAGAAGGCATCAGATGGATCCCTTGGAGTTGGAGTTGCAGGCAGTTGTGAGTCATTCAATGAGAGTGCTAGAGCTGTATGTGATCTAACTGCTGAGCCCTCTCCAGCGCCAAGGCCATAGTTTTGGTGGCTTACTAGCTGTGTGTCTCTGGATGGTCACTTAATTTCTCTGGATCTCATTCTCCTGGACTACAGCAGTGGATAGAGGGCATGCCTGGTTAGATGATAACATGTCCTCCAAACATATGCAACTGTGATGTTAACATGAAAATGTTCGAGCTAATCTGCTCGAAGCTTTTAAGCATTGCATCAACTACTTTTAATCCAACAGCAGAAAGCTGCAGGGTCCCTCTCACCTCGTACACACTTGGCTCATAGGACATCTGTACTTCATGTAATTTAATTTGTACTTAACTGCAGATTCACCTTCTTATACACAGACATTCACGTCCACCCAAATCCCAGTCTCTTTGAGGAAGTGACGTGGTGTGAGCTCACCCACCTTTCACTTTCATTATTGCCCAGGAACGTTCCGAACTGTGAGGCATAAGCATGCTCAAAGAGCATGATGAGAAAATGCTCGTTAAACTCAAAGGAGCAAGGGAACTGCCGGAGGATCTGCCACACACAGTCCAAGAAGAGAAGAAACACAGGTGCCTCCCACTTCTGCTTGCTGTTGCAATAAGCTGACTGTGCACAGCGCTGTTGGAACGGGTGACCGGCCTAGTGGAGAAGATGGAAATGTGAGGGTCCTGGCCTGATCACACCTGGGAAAACGAGCTCACACACTCACAGTGGCACTTCCATCTGCTGGAATACCACAAGACCAAGGTAGCTCCTGTCTAGATGAGATTTTGGTTTCAAATGACTAGCTTCTGCAACTAAGGAAAAAAAATTACAATTTCCAAAAACTTAGTGAAGCTGTGTAGTGAATTTATGAACATGGGCACTGCAAATGCCCTTCAGACATTAAATGTAAGATAGAGCTTAATGACAAACTGATAAAATCCATGGACTGGACTCCAAACCACAATCCAAGCCTGTTTGTTAACACCCATTACGTAGCGTTATGCTGAAATTATACAAAGTAATACATTAACAGGGTAACAGTCTCTAACCACAATGACAGGACATGAGGGGAATGGATCAACTGTGTGAAAGGAAATTCAGGTCTCAAACCTCATTAAAGTATGATTATTTCTCTGGACCTCAGAGGAAGTGTGTAGGCTGGAGCAGGATGGACAGAGGGCAGAATATGCTCAAGTCTTGTCTTGTGGTCACAGCCTCCTCTCCCTGCCTCCCCCCTCAAGTTTATCTGTATCCAGACCCAGCTTCTGGGAGACCGTCTATGCTTTACATTCTTTCTATTTCCCTTGTTGTTAACAAAGCACATGCTAAGGATCCCCTCTCTAAAACACTAGGGACCAGAGGTGCACTGGGCTCCAGGGGTTTTCATGAATGTGCACATGAGCTATTTTGGGGTTGGAACCTAAGTCTCACAGCGCACACTCATCCACAGAGCCCACAGTGATTTGTGCAGTCTCATTCTGCACCTGCATTTCCACTGCAGCAATCACAGGAGGCCAGGAGTCAGCATTTGGGGCATTGGCGATTTTCACACTAGGGATGCTCAACCTGCACAGCTATGGCAGTGAATGAAGTGTTAAGTGAGCCATATAAGCAAAGAGAGGTGCTGGGGTGGTGCTGCAGCTCAGGGGTAGATTACCTGCTTACACGCACACAGGCCAAGTCCAACCAACAACATGGAGGATTGAGAAACTCAAAGATAATAATGATTCTAAACACTTATTTGTTTGAAGGTGGATTAACTGACCCACAGAAAATTAAACATACAATTTCATTCATAATGTTAGCACCACAAACTGAGACCCAATCTCAATGATGGCATTCCTCTTATCCAGCAGCTTTCTCACCTGCAGCCACTCTCTCTCTATCAGGGCCTCAAAGCCACGGATGGTCCTGCTTCTTGGTTCCAGGATGATCTGGGCCAGGGAAGTCACCTGCAGCGTGGAATCAGTCCCTTCTGTCCCATGAATCAATACCGACGCTCCCTCCCTGAGAGGAAAACCCAGAGCAAAGAAGGGAAACTCAACAAACATTCCATGAATAAAGTGATTCAGTCTCATGCCCTGCATGGTCAGGAGGATGCGGAGTCTAAACGAGACACTGGACAGATGGAGTCTCTAAACAGGAGACCACAGTGAACCCCAAACTTCACACAGTAAGAGTCCTCTAAGTCAACACACCCCAGCCCTTCCGGCTGGCCTTCCAACCCTGGACAAACACAAAAGCCCTGTCATAGCCGGTACTTGCCTTTCCTGCTTTAGTGGCTGAGAAAAACCTTTCCCATCAAACCTATAAACACATTAAAATGACCTTTCCAACCCTGAACTCAGTCTTCTCCTGTCAACCTCTGCCAACTGCGATGGATCTAAGAAACAAGTCCTAAACCATACTCTGAGATACAAAGACGTGGGAAAAAAAGCAAAAACATAGAACTGTCAGCCCATAAGCTTGGCAATGACAGCGCTGCCTATAAGAGTTACTGGGTGCTTGGGACCCCTTTATCCTAAAGAGATACCCAAATGAGCCACACACTCTGCCTTCTTCCACCTTTGTTTTTGTTTGGTTTTTTGAGATAGGGTTTCTCTGTAGCTTTGGAGCCTGTCCTGAAACTTGCTCTGTAGATCAGGCTGGCCTCAAACTCACAGAAACCCACCTGTCTCTGCCTTCTGAGTGTTTAATAGGAAGGCTGCTTGTTTGTTCCCAGCCTCTTAGCCCCAGAAACTATATTAGTTAAAACACTGCTTGACCCATTAGCTCCAACTTCTTATCAGCTAACTCTTATATATTAATTTAACCCATTTCTATTAATCTGTATATCGCCACATGGCAGTGGCTTACTGGCAAAGATTCAGCATTTCTGACTCTGGTGGTTCCATGGCAGCTCTCTGTCTCCACCCTTCTTTCTCCCCGCATTCAGTTCCATCTCCCCGCCTACCTAAGTTCTGCCCTATCAATGGGCCAAGGCAGTTTCTTCATTCATTAACCAATAAAAGCAACACACAGACAGATGGACATCCTACACCACCTGAGTGCTGGGATTAAAGGTGTGCCCCCCCCCCCCCAGTTCTTCCATCCTTTTTATTGAGACCACAGTAAAGAAAATTTGGGAAGAAGGACATTTCATGTTTCTGTCTAATGCCAATTATTTTCCTATGTACATACATATTATACAGCAATAATGAAAGACAATGTCCCACTATTTTTACTTTTATTATAATCATTAACTATATTTTATGCCATGTTTAGAACTACTTAGTAATGCCTATATAATATTCCATTAAGTGGTTAAATTATAATCTATTTAGTTCTATACATTTTATGATACCGTGTCTGTGAGATTATGCTGAGCTCTTATTGTGCAAACAACAGCCTCTACCAATGGTTGGTTATATAACCCCATTCCTAGAATAATATCTAATAATTATGCTAAAGAGTATGAGCAGATAGATACTTTGTGCCTTTCATACATACTGAATGTATCTCTGAATCATGAGTGCTATTTATTCTAAACTTAAGGTTTATTTCTGCATTTTGAGCAATTAATTATAAAGTCAATTTCTTTTTTTCTTTCTTTTTTTTTTTTTGGTTTTTTCGAGACAGGGTTTCTCTGTGGTTTTGGAGCTTGTTCTGGAACTAGCTCTTGTAGACCAGGCTGGTCTCAAACTCACAGAGATCCGCCTGCCTCTGCCTCCCAAGTGCTGGGATTAAAGGCGTGCGCCACCACCGCCCGGCTTAAAGTCAATTTCTATTGAGGTATAAATCACAACATATCAGAAAAAGGAACCAAAGATAGTAAAAACCCAGCCCGTTGGAGAAATAAAGATGGCTGCTCCTGGAGTCCCCACCACTCACTGTTCTGTTCTGTTACTATTGCTGGGAAGGTAGACATGGAGGTGAAGCCAGGCGGGGGCATGGCTCAGCTTGCCTAGCACATCAAAGGCCCTGGATCTATACTCAGCGCCACATAAACTGGCTGTGGTGGTATACTCCTGTAGTCCCAGGACTTGATAGGTGGGAGCAAAGAGGATCTGAAATGTAAGGTCATCTTCAGCTCCAAAAGAAGTTCTAGGCTGGCCTGGGATACATGACACTGTACTCATGATATTAGGAGTAACTTGGTAGACTTGAGCTAAAAGAAACAGAAACGTCCATGTCAGCCTCTCAGCCTTCTGAGCTGTTGTCTTCTTGTCACAAAACCTTGGTTTTTAATTTCCTATTTAATTGGCTAAGTTATAATCTAAGCCGAAAGTCTCTGTTTACTAACAGAGCACAGGATCTTAGGCAACTCACTACAGCTTCTCTCTAGCCTTGAACAAATGAAAAAGGTGCTCCCCTAATTTGGAAGCAAGAAACAAGTTAACATTTCCAGGTGCTACCCAGGGAGGTGACAATGCTGACACCTACCTATGGTTTCAATGGAAATACCCTTCTTTAAAAGGCTCTATGCTTCTGCAACAGTTTCTATAATCCTCCTGCCTCTGCTCATTTTTCTGCCTCTGGTCTCAAGAGTTAAGAGCCTTTAATAGAGTGAATACTGAAATCATTTGGCAAATTACATAACCACCAGCAGGATTCCTACCTGAGACTAGCGTAACTCTCCAGACCAAGCAGTTTAGAATAAGAAACCCAGCACAGGAGAAAGGACAATGACACTGTGCGACAGGATTACTCCACTGAGTCTGCCAAGAAAACTTCCTTTCCTCCTTTTTCACAGCAAATTTAGAATTGCAGGATTTCACAGAA